TGAGCCATCAGAAACAACTGGAAATCCACTCTCAAGATCTTTCCAGAATTCCACCTCTTGGATGTTGGGAAAGCTGCTCACAGACAGGTGTCTTACCAGAGGTGCTCTGCATGAAACTATTTGAGGTTCTGCTGAGAGAAGCTGCAGACAGCAGTATTCTGTGGTCCACTGGGCACTTCAGGAGCCTGGCACAGAGAAGCTTCCCATGCCACCAATGTAAGCATTAAAACTGTTTAATTTATTTAAATTTTGTACATTTTGTTGAAAAATGGTGTTTAAATACTTTTATTGATAGACTATTATTGTGTTTCTAATGTTATTTATATTTTACTTTTGTCTGTTTATTGATTTATACCAAGAAATTCTTTTATCCTCACCTGCATTTTACTTAGGTTTTCTATATCACTAATTTCTTCTTTTATTATTATAGTCAGCCTTCCATAGTCATTAGTTCCATCCCTGTGGATTCAAGCAACAGCAGATTAAAAAATAATTGGAAAAAAAAATGTTGGCACTACTGAACATATGCATCTTTTTCTTACCCCTATTCCTTAAAGAATACATTATAATAACTATTTACATTTTATTTACATTTATTAGGAATTACAAGTAACCTAGACATGATTAATGTTTACAGAATGATACACACAGTTTATATGCAAATACTGTCATTTTTATAAGGCACTTAAGCTTTCACAGATTTGGGAAACCATGAGTATTGAAATCAACCTGCACAGATAGCAAGGGATGTCTATATATGCAGATCACAAAGTAGTTAAGCTTAGGAGTGAAACTTGGGCTAACATTTGGTTTTTTTTTCTGTGTTCTAGCTATGGGACCTTAGGCAAGGTACTTAACCTCTTTTACCTGTTGTGATTTTGTTTTTGTTTTTATGTAACAAAAACTATGCCATTGTTAGAGAGTATTTCTTTTGATAATAGTATTGTTCCACCAGCTTTTACTTGTTTAGTATATTAGTTCAGAATTAAAATTCATGTTAAAAACTAAGTAAACAAGTAAAATTTTACTAGTTTAATTAGATAAAAATGTAACTATCTCTCATCTAACAATGTATTCAATGTTTAGCATTTAGATACCAACATCAGCTGGATGACACTGGTGTTCTCTCACTGACCAAGAAGGGAAGAGTAAATACTAAAAAGCACCCAACAGTCCTTTGACCACTTGTATTCTTTCATTTTCATTCACACAATTTAAACCATTTTCCACTTATTTATTTTACATGTGATTCTTAATGTAATGCATGAAATAAAATAATTTCAAAATGTACAAAATATATGACCATACTAATACTATATAAAATGTTACATAATATTATATATGCATAATTTTAGAGTAGTACATGTAAAAAAGTAAACAAGTAAAACTTGACTAGTTTAATTAGATAATTAAATTTACTAGTTTAATTAGATAGTTTTAGAGTATATGTACTACTCTAAAATTGGAGGGTCTCTGCTTTCTTTCTTTTTTTCCCCAGTACTGGGGATTTTATCTTAGCTTTCTATCTTTATTTTATTTAGTAAACAACACACACACATACATACACACACACTTTCAAATTATTTTTAATTAAATCATTGTCGTCTCTCAAAATTGTTTTTAATTAAATCATTGTCTTCTCTCAAAATTGTTTTTAATTAAATCATTGTCTTCTCGCAATCTAAGCAAAGGCCTTGACATGGTCTATAATCCTCTTAAACTGTTACCCTTTCCAATGGTGTTATGTAGATTTTTTTTTATAAACCAGTTTTATTAAGAATAATTTATATAGATAGAATTGTGTGTTTGTGAAGTTCATGTGATAAAAGATCTTATCATATCTTGCTTTAAACTATAAGCTACCAACTTTATTACCACTCATACAAAGCCAGTGCTTATTTATTTTCTCAACATATTTAGCATTTCAATTGGTAAGCATCACTCTTTCCCTATTAAATTTTTGTCTTTTTTATTATTATTAATATTGTAATGTTCCAGTTTCCCTAGCAAAATACCTCAGACTGGGTGTGTTACACAAGAGTTCATTTCCTCACAGATCTGGAGATTGGAAGTGCAGATCAAGGGGCCAGCTGCACTGGATTCTGCTGAGGTCTCTGCTGGTCAGTGGGCCATCTTCTCACAGGATCTGTTCTCTGTGACCTCGCAAGACCTTCTCTGTGAACTCAGACACATGGGGTCTCCCCTCTTCTCATAAGGACACCAGCCCTACTGGATTTTAGGTCTCAGTTTATGATCTCCTTCAAACTTAATGACATCCATACTTTCCCTATCTTCAAATGCAGTCACATTGGGGGTTAGAGCTTTAACGTTTGGGTTTTAGTGGCAAACCATTCAGTCTACAGCAGTCTTTCCAAAGTAGGTCCATTAATGGCCTTTACAGAGAGGAGGTGTGTATAGGGAATTGCCCCAATCATTTTCATATGAAATATTAATTAGTTGGATCTCTAAGGACATATTTTTAGCCAAGAATTGAGGGTTATAGTTACATTGCTCAGCATGTTGATAATACGAATCAGTTGTCTTCTAGCATATGATTTTTTTTAAAGAGAGAGAGAGAATTTTTTAATATTTATTTTTTAGTTTTCGGTGGACACAACATCTTTATTTTATTTTTATGTGGTGCTGAGGATCGAACCCAGCGCCCCGCACATGCCAGGCGAGTGCGTTACCGCTTGAGCTACATCCCCAGCCCAAGCATATGATTTTTTAAAATAGATTTCTCACATGATTCAATTTTGTTGTTTCCCTTTTGTATATTACCTATCATTACCTTATAGATATATTCTGAATTTCACTTTGCCTCTAATAGTTACAAATTTCTTACTCTATATATACGAATGTGAATACTTACACAACGTTTCGTTAAATAGAGCATGTGTATGACAGAAGACCTCAGTGTTTTATGCAAGACTATTAACATGCATCATTATTTTAATTGGTCAGAGGAGAGGGAAATATATGACATGTTAATAAGAATGCATATTGTATGCCTTTTAGACAACTTTTATCAGAAAAGATAAGAAGAGAATGAGTCTCTCTAAAGATAATTTTTAAAAGTATTTAATCTCAAAGCTGAAGTCAGTATTACACTTAACTGGTGAAACACCAGGAAACTCTCCATTCACAAAGAGATGCCAGTTAATACAGTTGTACCTAAGATTTTGAGTATTTGAGCCATTTGAATATGCAACCCAACCAAAATAAATACTTACAAGGAAAAATTAAAATAACCACTATGCAAAATATTTTATGCAGATGATAGGATATTCATCTGCAAAAGAGAAGAGGATGAGCTAAAGACACAAAGCTCATATGACACATTGGTAAGGCAGCTGACTTCTAATTAGCAAACAAGCAAACAAAAACAATACCTGTACCTCTTTGTGTACATCTTAGCCAGCTTTCTAACATCATAGAAACAATAACCTTGAATATAACCACCAAAATTGAGCAGTCTTCCACCAGCTCACAGACGTGGCTATGACCAGCATCCTCCTGTTGATATGTCACTGAATTAAGGGGTGCCTCTCTCTACCAGGAGTTAGTGCTCTGGCTCTCTGCTGACATCTTCACGCACTGCTGCATAAGTCTTTTAGCATCTCAGCATCACAGTATCTTCCCATGTAAAATAGCATTACAGGTATATGAGCATTAAAAAGGTACTAAGCATACAGACTACCTGCCACATAAATATTATATTATTCTCTTTTTAGAGGTCACCTATCACACACATTCACTTTATTCTATAACATCTATTTCTTATGAAAATATCTCCAAATACACAGAGAAATATTTTTTTAAATGGATAAATAAATGAAGAATTAAGTTAAAGGAAAAAACCTATACAAACACCAACCAGCCAGCCTGAATAGATCTGTTTTCAAAAGAAATTATGAACAAAGAATTCTTCATTTCTAAAAATTTATAGGATTCTATTTTCCTGAAGGTTTAACAACACTGAACACACAGCACATGACCATGATTCCCTCTCTTATCTCTTCTCTTGAAGTAATTTAAATTTTTTACATATTTCATTAAGTTTGTGTAACTTTTTATTTACTTTTAATTTCTACCAGAGTTAATACTAAAAACATATATACATAGCAAAAGTTCATGTTAATTATTTGTTGGTCACTCACATGTTACTCTAAATTTCTGTTTCTATGACAACATGATTGTTTTCCACCCTAGTACTATACAGGTAAGACATATTGTATAACAAAAACACCAGTTTCCCAGTATGACATTCAAAAGGACTATCATTATCCATCATTCAGTATTCTCATGTATTAAAATTAAAATGGATTAAATTACCTAGAAAAAAGCAACATATTTCAAAATGTAAATTACATTTTCCTAATAATATCATTTTGTTCCAAGTATTCTTGATTATAAGGTTAACTATATAGGTAGAGTAATCAAAATAAAGTAGCTTCATTATTCTGAGGAATTTCTAAAAAGCTTCTTTAAATTGGATTTGAAATATTTAAAATATTGTATCTAGTGCATCTGGTTTCCTAGTCTATATGTTATTCTCCATTTTTTCATCTGGAATTTTAGGCATATATTCTACATTAGAAAATTATTTTATGTGTATATAATTATCCATTTCATTTTTACAGTGTCTCATGCATATTCACATGTATATCTCATATATCATGGTTTAATCATTTTAAAGACTCAAGAAGGTTAATGAGTGACAAAAGATTGTATCATGTTACTATAACAAGTTCTTATATTTAAGTAGTCTATACTCACATCCTTCTTTTATAAGCACATTAATATACATCCCTATGTATATTCTGCTAAAGTTGAAATGTGTTTGAATAGGACTTATTCCAAACATAATTTTTGTAAAATCACAAAGTAATAGAGAATAAAAGAATGTTGGAAAATTATAAATTGATAGCATCTAACAATTTCTAATTAAGTGATCTTCCTCTAGAATGTAAGAGGATCCCCAAAATGTTTTAGGGATTTTAGGGGTCCACATCTTTGAACCTGCACTTCAGTCGCCCCAGCACTGACAGAGAAGCCTGCCTCAGTTTACTATTTCCCAGAATCAGGACAAATGGGTGACCTGAAGGGAAAACTATTCCAGCAGCCAAACAAAACAAAACAATCACACTTTTTGCCACAAACTGAGAGACCCAAAATTGCACAAGAGACAGAAAGTAAATGGCGTACAGTAACAGAAAGACGATCACAGTTTGCAAGGCTTTCACATGAGCCATAGTGCTGACATCTCTGGATCCTTTGTCACTGTGCTGCATCCTCTTCAGATGTTTCCACAGAGAGAAGATTAGCAGGAGAAAAGTGATCAGGGACACGGTGAAAGGTGCGGAAAGGAAAACAGTGTTGATGATTACACTAATCCTAGAAAGTTGTTCAAACTTCCTCGAACAGAAACTGTAAGACAGGTTTCCTTTATATCCACCAATCCAGGCATCAATTTGTGTGTTTATAAATACAATGTTTAAAAACAGAAGGACCAGAGACACCAGCAGGGTCATTGACACCACCTTTTTAACTCTCCACTTTAGGTAAAGAAAAGCAGAGTTAGAAAAATTAGCTATCTTGAGAAAATACAAGATGCCCAGACTTGAGGCAAGCCAGAGGCTAAAATGGTTGGTCACCATCCAAGTAAGATTAATCATTCTTATGATTTGTTCAGTCATCCACAAATCTTGGTTCTGCAAAGATATCACTAGAGCTATGATTATTGACCAGAGTACACCAGTTCTGGAAAGTGCCAAAGCAGTGAGGATTTGGTCAGCTAAAGAGATCTTTCTTCTCTTGATCCAGTCCATGCAGCTCACCAGTGCTATGAATGCATTTCCTAAATTTCCAATTATGAATTCCACACTTAAAATAATTTCCAGTGTTCTCAGTATGATAAGATTCATTGTCTGTAAGAGAATGTCCCAATTTCTAATATAGTGCTGAAAATTTCTTAAGGCATTCATTTAAAATGCTATGTATATCTGACTCTTGAATATTCATAACATACTGGCTTATAAAAACTCTCATATACACTATAAAATTCAATATATGGATAGCAAAAATAATCTAAATGGTGTATAAAACTTCCTAAGCCCTGACATTCTTTCATTCCTTTAAATATTTTAGAATTTATTCTGTACAGGGACTATGCACTCATTGTCCAAAGCTCTTCTGAAAGTGCTGAAAATAATATTTACCATTTTACTTTTATAAGGTCTACATCCCCTCTCTCCCCCTCCCCCGTCTCTAACACATACATGCACACCACACACACACACACACACACACACACACACACACACATTAATTTGGATCCAAACCCCCTTCATTTTCCACTTCAATAATTAAGCTTTTACGTTTACTCAACGTGCATTATGCATCTAGCTCATGCTTATTACTGTGATTTGGTAGTTAACACATTGTTTAAAAAAATGCTTTCAAATATAATTGATGCAGTATTACTGTAAATAGCTAGAAAACTAGAGACTATTTTATCTGTGCATCTGAAAAGCAATGGAAATCTTCCTGTTGTGCCATGAAGCAGTTGCTGAGGTTAATGAGTTCCTCTACACAGCAAGAACACATCTTTATTTGCCTCTCCCTTGCTCAGAATGATAGGGAGACTTTTCCCCCATGAGCACCAGAGATCTTTAGATTTTATCTCCTCTGCTCACCTCCCACTAACATCGGCTCCATGACTGGCACCCAGGGAGCTGAAAGATGATATGCTGCCTAGGCAAGAGGAGAAGTGAACAGCCTAAAGAATCATTCTTTGAAAGCTAAAGAGCAGAATAAATCCAGGAACAACTAACAAAGACAGCACAAAAGTATGTATAGTAAACATCATAGATAGCAGAGAAAGACATAAGGTTCACTATGAAGGACTGAGGCTAACCCCAGTCCCTTGAAACAGTACTGAGCTAAGAAACTGAATCTCAAATATCTTGAAATTTCTCACAAATGTCTAACATTTAAGGAAAAGACATACTGAAAACGTACATTAGGTCAGCATTACAACATTTTTATGGAAAACATACCAACCCTATACAGGCAGGAAGGTTCCTGGTTTGCCTCCTTTCCTGTAACTGAGAGGAGGTAGGAAATGTGACAGAGAGCAAAGCAAACAACCCTAGGGGTGGGGATTTGTGGAGGGGCACTACAACAGGAGCTTCTTGGGCTTTTAGAAAAGAGAGAACTCCGGTCCCAAGTGAGGGCTGCACTCACCCAAGAGCAGGTCTTCCTGAGGCTCCCAATACTGCACCTCTCATTCCAGATTAGACATGCGATAGATTCCACCTGAACATCAGCTTCTAGGGAAAGATGTTCTTCCAGCAAGGCAAGGATGGCACCCAGGATAATTCCCAAAAATTATGTCTAGAAAGTAAAATAATAAGTCAACTCTGGAGAAAAGAGCAGGGTCTCCATGCATTTCAGAGTCAGTGATATACTCATATATTTGAAGAAGTTAGTACATTTCATTTTAAAGAAAGAAATTTCATGACAAGTTTGAGACTCCCTTTACCAAATAATCAAAAAGAGTTTAACCAACCAAAATTCTATCTATATATCTCTCTATTTATATCGTTATTTCTATAATGATAGTATCCCACCTATAAATCTCCAATACTTATGTTTTTCTTTTAAATAAAATTAAATTAGTTTTCAGGACCCAATACCACTCTGATTTAGTAGAAATTCAAGCAAAAATATTACTGAAGCTCCCTTCTATCTAGATTTTGTTGTGGTTTTCTTATATTATTATTTTTGAACATACCTTTCCCATCAAAGAAGAAAAGTATACTTTCCAGTATAAGCTAGATAGATGATAGACAGATATATAGACAGACAGATTTGAACAGTCAAGCTATTCAACTCTTTGGGACGGTTCAGCTAGGCTCTCAGTAAGGACTAGCAGCAAGGTCAGCATAACTGATTCCAGTTCGTAAAACTGAGCTCTTAGTCCACCTGATATTTACTCTTTAGGGAGAAGAGTAAGTACCAGCAAAAGAGACAGAGAATCTGTGCTCAGTGGACAAGGACATAACCAGGAGAGGGCGGTATCCTGGGAAGCAAGTAGGTTTCCTTCAGGGCTGCTCAGAGCTCCTGCGGGTTGAAGCCTGAGCACTGGCAGCATAGACTCACTGGAGACCCTTCAGGATCAGGTTCAGGAAAGTCTTAAGCAACACCCTTAGGGAAGCAGGTCCAGAAGACAGCGGTGAAGAGGTCTTGCTATCTGCTAAAAACTGTAAACCAAAAGGAAACAAGAAAAACTGTATTTCTGAACTCAGCCTTCGAAGAGCTCACCCAGCTTTGAGAATAAGTCAAGAAGCAGAATCCAGGGCTAAGCCCCCTGATAAAGGACTCAACATGCATCTCAGGAATAGTCAGGATGTCCTCATATGATGTTTCTCAAAGACTTGGAGCATTACCAGCAAACAGTCCCCAGAGGAAAGGGCACATCACATATCCACATTTTCTGGAATTTCCAGATCTGACCTGATTCTAATACCTGGGGACCCCAACAGGCCTTGTGGTCCACTGCATAGCATGGGAATTTCTGAATATTAGAATCTCCCTAGATCTTGGACTCACGTCCATCCCAAGGTTAGTCTAATGGGGTTACAGTTATTTACCTAATTGAAATGGACAGATTTAGCCATTGGCAAAACTCTCACATTGCTCCTGGTCTCTACAATAATGGACATTATTATATACCCTACTGGCAATGAGCAAGATATAATGGCCACATTCTCCAAGGAATAAAATTAATTACTGAACTATCAAAACACTGGAAAATATAGGAGTGGTGCTCCTTCTCATGACACTATTAAATTAACCTATATTGACCCTGCAATGGACAGATGGAATATACAATGAGTGCAGATTAATATAGATTGATTTGCAATAATAGATGCTCCAGGAAGCAAAATCTTTATTGAGCCAAACATTGCCTCTGACACTTAGTTTCTGGCTATTGACTTCTTGAATGATGTTCCATCTATAGCCGTTTGGGGGAAAAATCAGGCTAACATTTGTGTGTTAAGAGCTGCAGCACACCTCACAGTGGTATGTCAGGACTGTATCACTTCTTCTGCTTCCAGTTTCATTAACATTTTCCAAACATTGTGCTCATTAAATATAACATATGAGTGATGTTATATTAATTGGTTCCCAAAGCAGGAAGTGGCAAGTTCCTGAAATATTGTAAAATATCATAACATTACCAGAAGAGGAAAATTCTATAGGAGGGAGAAAAACCTGAGAGGATTTAGGGACCTCCACCACAAGTAATGTTCTAAGGGTCCAGTGGTCTGATCTACATAGGCAAACATCTTTTCTAAAGTGTCTTCTCAAACTACCTTCTATTTCTTGTCACTAAAAGTGCCACAGTGTTTGTTGGGCCTTTTTGTGCTCTGAAGACAACATCATCACATTCAGGGATGTGGCACTAACTCATTTATGGGGTTTCTTCAAATGCTGCTGGTTTCAAGTGGCCCCAGAGCAGGAGAGGGTTCAACAGCTCAGGCAGGCTGATATCCAACATGTTCTGCCCATTGCTCTGCCAGATGATTCAGCAGATCAAGACTGATAGAGGCATTTGTAAGTGGGCAAGGATGCTGTGCATGTCTCTGACAAAACTCATAAGAAAAGGGTGAAAAAAACCCACTGAATTAGCATGAAGCCACCTCTTCTTCATCAGAAGAGTATTTTGTCTAAGAAATAAAATGGTAAAAACAGACAATTAAAACAATCATAAGGTCTCTCTAAGCACAGGGCTTTCAACAGCTAATAATTAATATGTTTACAAAGCCAAACTCACTGTTGGAGGGCATGAGTACACCTCAGTGCCCAAGGGGTGAACTGTATTGAACACAAATCTGTGCATATCTTCAGGTATTTTGACAATTCCTGTTCTCTTGGTCAACATCTGTGTGATACAGGTTATCTTTCTATTTTGTACTACAGCAACTCCATCCATGAGATCGAACTTTGTAAATGGCCACCAAGGAGCTGTATGGTTTAAGGCTTAAAAAACAGAGATTGGTTCTGCCCTAGGTAAACCCTGAACAATGGATAACTGTAGAAAGAAGAGAACTTAGAAGACCAATTTGTACTCTTCTCTCTCTTTAAAGGACTAAGGCAGGTCAGGTTCACTTTTGGACCTTCCTGGGGAAGTCCTGGACATCAAGTGCCTTCTTGTGCCCAGCACAATGATTCTCTCAGCTCATTGTGAAATGGTAGCCAGCAGAATAACACTTCATTTCACACCGTTTCCCCTCTTCTCTCCCCTTAGATTCCAGGTCCTCTGGAATTCCACCCCGGATCTGACTTTCCACATATTATTTATTGATTTAATCCCTAACGTTGAATCTGGTTTTAGAAGCCCCAAGCTTAAGATATCCATTGAATTTTATAATTTTTATTTGTTCACTTTTCTTTGAGTTTATAGAACAATGATAAAATGTTTATTTGAAGATCAGGCACACTGTGGCACACACCTGTAATCCCAGTAACTTGGAAGACTGAGGCAGAAGGATTGCAAGTTCAAGACTGGCTGGCCTCAGCAGGTCACTGGGACCCTCAGCAATTAAGTGAGAACCTGTCTCAAAATTTAAAAAAAAAATTAAGGGGGGCTGGAGATGTAGCTCAGAGGTACAGTATCACTGGGTTCAATCCTAGGTACAAAAAAAAGTTTATATAGAGAGATTACTATTAAAAATATATCAAAATAACATTCTAGAAAGGCAGTGGTTGGGGTTAGGCTGGGATTGGAGCTCAGTGGAAGGGTGCTTACCTCTCATGGGAGAGGCCATGGATTTGATCCCCATCCCACAAAAAGAAAAAAAATAGTAGTTAAATTTTAAATCAAAAGCCATTTTTGTGTAGAAAATAGGCAATTACAACA